GGCCGATTTTTCTGAATTTCCCGGGCCGGTCTGATATAGCCAGCACGCCCCTGTACGTATCTTTGAAAGTAATCAATCATTAAACGGAAATTGACTCTAATGCAATCTAAAAAGTCCAAGCAAGTATATCCAGTGTTAACATAATAGTTATTTAGATGGTACTAATTATTTAGGTGGTACTAATCACTCTCCATTGGATGGCTGTGGTAAACATCGGAACCAAAGAACACCTTCTTTGATCGGAACCACGTTTCGTAGTTTTTTATTGGTCATAGTTTAAGCCGTGTTTTTTTATAAATATTCGTTGTAAAAATTTGTATTTTTTACCTGGACAAGGTAAATGTTTGTTTAAGACATTGTATTTGTCAAAACTATGAAATTTTTTCAGTGATTTTATTTAAAAAAACTTAAGGCAAAAAGTGCAAAGTTGCCTAATTTCGGATGGTTTCCGAAATTAGGAATTCAAAATTATGAACTAAACAAATTCCAACATTTAGAGTCGCTTAAGGATTATAATGTTTATATATAAACATATATATATATATATATATATATATATATATATATATATATATATATATATATGTGACTTATGCATGGACTAATAAATATGTTGTTTTTTTAATTTCGGAGAGGGTGTCCAAAATTGGAAGCCCAATTTGAAATTTATTTTTTTGTAAACATTTTTTGTAATAAAAATGATTTGATATTAAAATTTGTTTCTTTGCAATGCATTGTACCTATACTAGTCAATAGATAAAGCATTAAAAAATTATTTTATCTAAAAAATTTTGATTATTTTGAAAAGGTGTCTAAAATTAGGCGATTTTCCTCTACGGGGTGGCACAAGTTAACAATTATGACAGAAATCAACAAACTGTTTTTGTAAATAGTTATTATGTATCAAGGCAATAAAGTCGTATTATATAAAATGACTTTAATGCCGAGGTGCATATTAAATTTTATACGAAATGGCATTTAATAAAACTAATAATTAATATTGATGATTAAATCAAATGTCATTTGATGATCAAATCAAATGTCATTTGAATATTCAAACGTAGGAAGTGTCTACGTATACTGTTTGTTGCGACGGTTATTATATATTTATTATTCTAATTAATAAAATTAACTTATTATTTTTATTAAACTGAGAAGCAGTAGACACATCTTAAAATGTATAATGAGTTGCATACAATACTCGTATTAAATCGGCAGTACAGTTCCACTTTACTGTCGATTGTTGAATACTTCTATTTCGGATAAACGATATTTAAACATTATATATATTAGGGTGTTTAAAAAAAATCGACTTTTTCTTTTTCTTCAAATGTTCAGCAAATTCTTTCAGAGGATGTCAAAACAAAGACCTCGTTAAAATTTGAGCTTTTAATTTGAAGATTTAGAGGTCGCGGATCGCAATTTTCTATTTCCCATTTAAATAACATAGGAATATTTTTTTTTTAACTTTGTAATTTTATACGTCTATATCGAATCAACTTATGGCAAGGAACATCTTAGATTTTTATAGTAAATTTAACGCTCTATAAAAAATGTCTCTTATAATTTTTCTATAAATTGATTTCTTCCAGAGTTATTCGAGGCCAAAGTTTGATTTCCATCGAATTTTCTCGTTTTTTCAACTTTTAGCATCATGTAGTAAAAAAATCACATATTTATATCTGAAACATAGGAAGTGTTGTAAAAAAAACAAAAAAACGTCACTTTTGTCCAAAGCCTACTACAAAGTTTTAATGAAAATATGAGATGTGAATAATTTGCAAAGTAATTTATTTATAAATGCATTTTTCTCGAAAATGGTGCATCTGAGCAATTCAAATCAAGATTACCTATTTTTCGTAAAAAACTATAAATTCTCATAATTTCATAAAAAAAATTAAATTATTAACCCAGAAAAAAGTTGGGGCTATTTTTGTAACTTTGCCCCCTCCAAATGTTACGCCTATGATTAAATTTTAACAGTTTTGATCATAGATCTAGATTCAGCATGTCAAAATTACCAAAGTACCTACCGAAAATTCATTTGTTCATGTTCAACCCTCCAGGAATAGTTTAAAAAAAATTATCCTCTTAGGCTCCTATTCAGGGGCCGTAGCTCCTTTAGGGAGCATTTTTTGATACATGTTTATTAAACAAAAAAAGTGTTATTTTTATACGAATAATGTTTAAGTTTGGCCCCCTGATTTCGGGACACCCGTATAATGATAATTGTACCATAAATGTTAAAAAAAACGCGAAAATTCGATGGAAATCAAACTTTGGCCTCGAATAACTCTGGAAGGAATCAATTTATAGAAAAATGATAGAAGACCTTTTTTGTAGAGCGTTAAATTTACTATGAAAATCTAAGATGATCCTTGACATAAGTTGATTTGATTCAGACGTATAAAATTTCAAAGTTAAAAAAAAATAATTCCCATGTTATTTAAATGGGAAATAGAAAATTGCGATCCGCGACCTCTAAATCTTCAAATTAAAAGCTCAAATTTTGACGAGGTCTTTGTGTTGACATCCTCTGAAAGAATTTGCCGACCATTTGAAGAAAAAGAAAAAGTCGATTTTTTTGAAACACCCTAATATATATATATATATATATATATATATATATATAAAATTTGTTTAAACTAATGAAAGGTTATTAGTATTAGTAGGAGCCTAATAAGGTTTCTATCAAAGACTAAGTATTTGATAATTAAGCAAAGCAAATATGGCAAATTGGTTCTTGACCAAATTTAAATCAGTCGCTCTAGGCTAGAAATTTAATGCAATGGTATATGTGGTTATTTGCCAAACCATTCGTATGTAATTCAATCCAAGTATTAGATGATATGATTAAATATTTAATTCTAGAATTTTAAGCGAATTTTAAGCGAATTTAAAAATTTTTGAATTTATTAGAAATTTTGTAAATAATTGAAATTCTGAAAATTTTGCAAACTGAAAATATTAAAATTGTATGGAAATTTCAAAGATTTTGAAAATTATGTAAATTTTCAAAAATTTATAGGTATAATTTTATTTTTTTTAAATTATCGTCTATTTTAAAATAAAAAAAAAAAAAATTTCAAAAATTTCAGCTTTGAATTTTAAAAAATTAAAAATATTTGAATTTTTTTGTAAAAGCACCACGTAATATTTTCAAAATTTTCAAATTTTATAATAATTATTATAAATTTTGTAAAATTCAAAGCTGAAATTTCACATTTTTTAAAATTTTTTAAAATGGGCACTATTTTTAAAATTTACATAATTTTCAAAATTTTGAGAATTTAGAAATTTTGTTGTCAATTTGAAGTATTTTGGAAATTTCTACCCAAAATTTTTATTTTTAAACTACTTAATTTGTATCACGATTTTTCAATTTATCCCACTGTTGGAATTTGTCCTACCATTCTTTACATTCATCCCACTGTGCTGGTTTGTCCTACCTACAGGTCCATGTAATTTTTACTTTGGATGCTACGTACTAGATGGGGTTGAAAATGAAATGTGGTGTGACACCTCTCGACTTCTTACTAAGAACTTCTTAGTAAGAAGTTCTTAAGCCGCAGCTTAATTGTCGCAGGTCGCAGATCGCGAGTGAAGAAGTCCTTAGTCAATGGTAATACTGTTTAAAACTTCTTTAAACAAAGTTTGAAGCCTTTGAAAAGCCTGTGAAAAAAAATAACAAATAATTTTTTTGCATTTTATTCTTCTAGGCTTGCAAAACATAAAAAATCAAAAACCAAAATAATTGATAAACGAGTTTTTTGTTTGACTAGTATTATAAATTATGTTATTTTCTTTTTTATCTCAGGATTAAATAATTCATAAACGTTTTAATTAACTGTTCAAAGGCCAAACATGTGGTTGTGGATTGATTCATTTCGCGATGTCATTGAATTGGACATGAACAATGTTTTAAGTGACAAATAAGTGACCAATTTGCAATACTATGATAATAATATAAGTAGGTACTAAAATACATGTATGTATTTCTTGTAATTCATTATAAAGCTTGCAGTACTTTCTTTAGCATAATAACGCATGTGCTTTTACCTGCATTTATTTAGCATTTATATAATTATGTTCCTATTCAATTTAATTGTCTGAACCCACATCAATAATTATCGCTGTCTGCATTTTAAAAATGCTTTAGTCTATGTGGTAGTCTTCAAGACGACTGGTTTGTGTACCTAATGTATTTTTAGTGGTCGAAATTTGTTTTAAAAAGTTGTAACTACTGGATTTAGATATTAAAAAACTCGCTACAAGGTAAACTTTTTGTATAAATTATAGACATATCTTAGGATGTTTTTAATATTTTTTTTCGCACGTATAATAATAAAATTAATATGTAATAAATACAACGTGAAATTAATATTTAACAAATTAATCAAGTAACGGATGCTGTGGTAAATTATTGCCGAAAGCAGTTCGTATCTCAAGCAAAACTCCACGATACCTTATTACACACCCCTTTAATAATAAACCCTTGATCCACCCCTGACCCATTTACAAAATACACGTAAATTTAATTAGACTAAATAGTAGACTTTTTTGGAATCTCATGGATCGTTTGGGGTGGTTAAGTTACGTTATATTTTACATGGATTTAATATACGATTTGAAAGAAATTAAAAATGGAGATATACAGGGTGTTCAAAGTTATCTGCTCGCCATTGCTAACTTCGTTATTATTGGAGCTACAAAGTCGGCCAAATTAGCAAATTTGTGGTATTTTTTCTTCTGATTACAGTGGTGAAAACAGAACAATTAAACGACGGGTTTTCGAAATATTCACAAAAAGAACAATTTTTTAAATGAGACACCCTGTATATTTTTTTTCTACAAAAATAACTAATCAGTTTTAAAAAAGTACAATTTTTTTATTCATTACATACTTTGTTTGGGTTAAAAAATTTAAAAAAATTACCGAAACATTTTTAATGGGGTTGTGTATTTATTAAAATTATTATTTTTTAGATTTATTTTTATACATGATGGCTCAACCAGTGCATTACGATCAAAATTTATACCGATTTCAAGTGGTGGATTATGCAGTTTTTGGATCCATGTTACTTTTGAGCGCTGTAACAGGGTTGTACTTTGGCTGTAAAAGTAAAATATTTAAGAAAACGACGGAACAAACCTTGGATGAGTATTTAGTAGGGGGGCGAACAATGGCCCCCTTGCCTGTGGCTATGTCACTTATTGCTAGGTAAAATATTATACAATAAACAACATTTAAATAAAAAAAAGTCGAAAATAATTTTTTAATTTTTTTTAGTTACGTTTCTGGAGTTACAATGTTAGGTACTCCAACGGACATATACAGCTTTGGTAGTCAATATATGCTAATAGTTGTAGCTATATTTTGTAGCGGTTTAGTGATAACATTTGTGTACCTTCCAGTATTTTGTAAACTTAGGGTAAATTCCTCGTATGAGGTAAGAAAAATAAAAATAATTTTTAAAATTGAGGTTTTCTTTATTGAAATAAAAACGTTTTTTTTGTTTTAGTACCTTGAAATGCGCTTTAACAGGGTTGTGAGAACAATGGCTTCATCGTTTTTTGTATTAGATGAGGTAAATATACATAAATATAAAAAATGTACTTTTGTTTTAAAGGGGTATATATTTTTCTTGGTCAAAAACAAGGCAGTTTTTGGAATTTTATATTTTTATAAAAAATTATTTAGGTACATCCAATTTTTTTTTTTAAATTCAATAAATCAACTAGGAAAGTTTATTTAGTGGAATGAGCTATAGATATTATATATTATAAAAGAATAAAATAAAAATTAATTTGAAAATGTAGAAAATTAATGTTTTTATTTTTTGTAGTTTATGTTTCTACCTATAATAATTTACGTGCCATCCTTAGCATTTAATCAGGGTAAGTACCTTACACATTTTTTTCAAACCATGCTATCTCCGCTGGGTTGTATACAGGGTGTCTCCTTTTACCTCTAAAAACTATGATGTTATTAATTCAAGCAAACTCACAGGCAAAATAATCGATCCACACAAATTTTCGATGAATGTCAATCGCAAATAACTTTTTTATTTGTTTTCGGATTTAAACAAATATTAAAGAATATTGTAGATACATTAATGGAGAACCGCTCACATTTTAAAAATTACTAAAAAATACACGTACGTTCATAATATACAGGTTTAAATAAAAAGATGTTTTTTACCATAAGTTTAGGACACTCTGTAGAGTGGCAAAACCGTATATTGTTCTAAATTAAGTTTTAATTATTAAGTCACATATATTTTTAACAGTTTTGTTTTTGGTTCACCTTGATATATTTAATTTGTGGAAAATATGGATTTTTAAAAAAAAATATTGCAATTTTCAATATTTTTCCTGTATGAACAACTAAGGTTGCTATGGTCCATCCATAGCCTATGGAGGATGACAGTGACAGTTTTGTTGAACCATCCCATACTTGGACATGTCATATACAGCTTTCAAAAGCTATCAAATTGTTTTTTGTAAATTAATGTGTGTGTACTTTACTTCTTGTGACGTTTAAAACACTTGCCACGTAATACTGTGACCGTCCATCCTGGATTAAATTAATGGCTCTGGCAACATCATGCGGAGACATATCCATTTTTTTTTAAGTAAAAAGACACCTCAAAATTTAAACATTAATTTGCAAAAAACAATTTGATAGCTTTTGAAAGCCGTGTATGACATGTCCAAGTATGGGATGATTCAACAAAACTGTCACTGTCATTCTCCATAGCCTATGGATGGACCATAGCAACCTTAGTTCTTCATACAGAAAAATATTGGAAATTGCAATGTTTTTTTCAAAAATCCATATTTTTCATAAAAATAAAATTTTGGTGAACCAAAAACAAAACTGTTAAGAATAGATGTGACTTGATAAATAAAACTTAATTTAGAACAATATACGGTTTTGCCACTCTACAGAGTGTCTTAAACTTATGGTAAAAAACATATTTTTGTTTAAACCTGTGTATTATAAACGTACGTCTATTTTTTAGTAATTTTTTAAAATTCTTTAATATTCGTTTAAATCTGACATCAAATAAAAAAGTTATTTGCGATTGAAATTGATCGAAAATTTCTGTGGATCGATTATTTGGCCGGTGAGTGTATTATCAAGCAAACTTTTAAACTTAATCAAAATCGGTTAGTAGGTACTTTGTTATTATTGATTACTGACAGCTCGGTTGTTATTGTGCTTTCTCTGGGACTACATGAACAGTTTAGGGTACCTACCAGAGCGAATTTGACACATTAGAAATCATCCGGATATGATGGCAAAAGCGACACATCATAATTTTCTACGCCGCTGTCAATTTTTTGTGGAAAACGGCGGGATAGTTGAACATTTATTATGATTTTGTGGAACACTTAAAAAAATAGCTACATGAGCATCAATCGACGTAAAAAGTGAAAGGTGAAATTTAAAATCGCGGGAAAAACACGAAAACCTCGAGATACATATACAATAAAAATTAAGTATTGTTTTATTCAAAGTACCTAAAAATAACTGAGTATGCAAAACAAAAAACAATTATCAACAAAGTAATTAATGATAACACAAATGTAAATTTTTAATGAATGTAGATTATTGCCCATTGTGCAAGCATATTTTGCGTCACTTATTTGGTGACACCCTGTATGCGTGGAAGTATATTTCAGGAACTTTTTAGCATAATACAAATTTGTTCTAATTATATTTCAATTTTTAGTTACGGGAATAAATATCTACGTTATTGGCACTATAGTCACCCTAATATGTATTTTTTATACGTTTTTGGTAAGTAATTTTAAAAGTATGTTGAACATTTTATAAAAACATGAATTTTATACCTAAGATTTTTAAAATCGTGTTATATCTACAGTTATGAGCAATTTGCCATCTGGCAACAATTTAGGAGTAAATAAATACTCTTACAAAGCCTAAAAATGCTCATTCTTATTTTTACATATAATTTTGACATTTTAATTTTAGGGTGGTTTAAAAGCTGTTGTTTGGACTGACACTTGGCAAATCATAGCCATGTTTATATCGACTTTAGTTGTAATTATATTGGGAACAAAAGCAGCTGGTGGTGTGTCCCAGGTATTTGACACTTTTATCAAAGGAGATCGACTAATTTTATTTGAGTAAAATCCCAATTAACTCTATAAATATATCAAATTAACCAAGTTTTGTTTTTATTTCAGTTTTAATACCAGCATGTATCAAAGATACACATTCTTTAGTGTTGTAATTGGGGGTTTTACCTATTGGACTTCGTTTAACGCTGTCAACCAGACGATGGTGCAAAGATATATGGCTCTACCAAATCTTAAACAGGCTAGGATGTAAGAAAATTGATTTTTAATTTTATGCGCTAAAGAAGCATCGGGTTTTCAAAACGCGCGCGCTATCTGGTGGTGCTCGATAGCATTATTAGACTAAAAGATTTGTCAACAATATAATAATACACAGAGAAAAATCTGTTTAAAAAACATTGCACAAAGTTGTGAAACATGCCATTGGAGCATAATTTTATATAAATGTGCTACGTTATCCAAGATAGTTGGATTGGTTTTTCTAATTAGTTTGTTTAAGTAAATTTGTTGCAAACAGTAAGATTTTATATTTAACCATTTGCACAATATTGTCAAGAAAAGAGTTGAAATCTGTTGTTAAAAATATTTCAAAAATAAATGTGCAATTTTTAAAATAATTTGTATAAATATGGTATAACTTTGACATAGAATATAAATTTTACAATATTGGACAATTTGTTCGGGAGTGCATCATGATGCATCACACCACCTAAGATAACCAATGAAATGATTTCCCGCTTGAAATAAGACGCCGGCCGGTCGCTCAACATCATCAGTTTGCAGTTTTAGTTAGTGTTGGAAAGTGTATCATTGTGAGGTTACTACCACATTTCTGGTGAGTAATTATTGAATATAATTTTTCCAAATAGGTAGGTAGGTAGGTATTTGCAAAATTGTTCAGGGACTGAGATAAATCAATAATTATGACCTGGTGATCAAATGAGGATAAAAAGTGTTTACATGTTCCTACTGTGCTACATTATTGATCAGCTTACTATTTACTTTAGTTTGTACTTTATTTTTATTTTATGTTTTCAGTTTATATTAAGTATCTCTATCCTTACAAATTTTTTTGTTGGTCGCAGAATACATATTTAATCTATCGACATTTGTACTATTATATCTAGTGTTGTAAAAAAAAACGTTTTTTTCAGTTGAAAAAAAAACACGTGAAAAAAAACATGTTTTTTTTCACTGAAAAAAAAACAAAAGTTGTTTTTTTTCATTCTCACCCACGTATGGTAAAAGGGCGCCTCGCTGTCGGCAATGCTGACTTGGCATATCGTATAGTCTATACGGTATTATAATAGAAGAGTTAAGACCTGCGGCTTTATAGGTTGATGCATAGTTGGTAGAAATGCCGAAAAGAAAAGGCTCAGGGCGAAAGCCAACAACGTTAAACAATTTGTTTAAGAATATTACTAATGGTAAGTAAGAAACTATAATTAGTATTTAATAATCTTCTAGTGACAGAATGTGCCAAAAATTCTTTCCTCAGCAGTGACATTTCGAAAATCCTGTCACTTAATATAATTTGAGTATTTTGACCATTTCTTTGAAAAAAAACATTTTTTTTGAAAAAAACAAGGACCTCTGTTTTTTTTCAAAAAAAAACATTTTTTTTTTGAAAAAAAACAAGAGTGTTTTTTTTCAGTGACAACACTAATTATATCTCAATATTATTAGAATTAGCTATACGAATTTTATTTTTCAGTTTGTAGTTTATGTTTTGTTATGTTTATTTTATGTTGTCAATATCAGTTTATATTAAGTTTATGTATTCTATTTTCCATATTTTTTGTACAAGTCACTGAATACATAGGTATCTAAATTAATAATTTAGTTTCATTTTCCTTTTTACCACCCTCGCATCCCAAAAATTATAAAAAAATTTAAATAAATTGGAGAAATTATTATTAAACAATGTTGTGTTATTATGTGCCATAATTTGTGCAATTTCACCACAATAGTATTATAATAGTATTAAAAAAGTCTCTAAAATACTCATTTACTTACACAAATTATACGAGCCGATTAGATTAAAATATGTTCAAATGTCATTTAAGTTATGGTAGTTTTTAATATAATAAGTTTGCCACAATTATTTGCTAAAATTTACCACAAATTGTTCCTGTCACTTTTTTAGCACCAATTTGTTGAACAAATAAATTCATACAATTATTAAACCAAATCTAACAAAATTTTCTCTGTGTATAATATACTGTATATGTTTATTTAGCTTTAACCAACATATAAATACATACAAAATATTTTTAAAAATGGGACATCACGTATATTCTAAGTAGTTTCTTAAACATTTAAAAGTTATCCCAGTCTTTTATATTTTTTGGCAGTTGGTTAAAATCTTATAGTCCTTATACAAAACAGAGTTCAAAAGTTGACTAGTCGAACAGCTTTCAAACAAAATAAAATTACGTTGGTTACGAGTAAAGTAATTTTGAACATCTTCAAAAAGTCCAACTTTTTCACAAATATAATTGGGCAACATATTACTTCTAATTTAAAAAATAACATTAAACATATTTTTTGTTTGGCGGATAACATATTTAAAACATAAACAGGTGTAGGTACATTTGTAACATTTTAAAATAAATTGAAATTGATTCAGATTAAAATTTGGTAACATATATAACAAACACAAACAAAATTATGGGGTGCAGCAATAGCATTGTACAGATGATTTTTTGCATAAAAAGAAATATTTTATAATACTCTAGATATAAAACTGTTTTTTGTGTATTTTCTAATGATATAATCAGCGTGTGCATGAAAATTATGTTTTTGATCAAATCAAACATCCAAATATTTGATTTGATTCACATTTAATAATCTTTCAATGAAAGTCGTGTAAATGTTGTTATTAAAAATGAAAGACTTTCATTATTAATAACAACATTTACACGACTTAATTTAGATTTTTTGCCAAACAAACAGAATTTTGATTTTTGTGTGTTTAAACATTTTTTGCAACTCATTCATATCCTGTTGCATTTGTTTCAGGTCTTTGTGTGTTATCCGCAAATAACACAATTTTACATTTATTGACAATCTTCACAATATCGTTAACATACAGTAAAAATAAAACAGAACCCAATACAGTTCCTTGAGGTACCCCAAAATTAACAAACATGGATTTGGACAAACAACGATTGTACTTTACACTCTGAGCTCTGTCAGATAAATACGAAGTAAACCACTGTTACAGTGGCACTGTACCTTTAAAACCCAACTTTTTCAATTAAGTTAACAAAATATTACGATTCACATTTTTTTCTCGATATTTTTATTCTCAAAACAGTTTTGTTACGATGATATTGACCACGTGGTGGCGCTACTAGCGATACTTCTTTAGCGTATATGACAGTGGAATCAAAATATGAAAGATCATAATAATAATTTATTTTAGATCTCTTTTATTATTTACTTTTGGTGTTTCATTGTTTGTTTGGATATGTACGTATGCTGGTACTTTGGTGTATTCCAAATACGAAACTTGTGACCCTTTATCTTCCGGAAGAATATCTTCTGAAGATCAGTTATTACCGTTGTATGTTATGGAAACTGTTGGCAAACTAAGAGGAATACCTGGACTTTTTATAGCAGGTGTTTTTGGGGCTGCATTAAGGTAAAATAAACGTCATATTTATGTATTTTACACTATTCAATATTTTTAGTTCTTTATCTGTAGTACTAAACTCTACAGCACAAGTTATCCTGGAGGACATAATCAAAGGATGTTTCCGTTTTAAACCAACGGAAAAGAGGGGGAAATTTATTGTTAAAACAATCGTTCTAGCTTTAGGTGGTGTAGCCTTAGGATTTTTGTTTGTTATCGAACATATGGGAGGAGTACTTCAAGTAGGTATTTTTAAATTTGCTTTTGTAGGTAACTACATTGCAAAATATCTTTCAGATGGCCACTTCCTTTACCTCCATAGCAGCCGGTACTTCTTTCGGTGTTTTTTCTTTGGGGATGTTGGTACCATGGGCGAATAACAAAGGCGCCATTTCTGGAGCTTTATCGGGATTGTTGATGTCGGGAACAATCACTTATGGTAGTCAGTACGCCGGAGCTACGAATTTAGTGATGGCCCATAAGCTACCTGTTAGTGTGGACGGGTGTTATAGCACTTACGGGCTTAACGTTACATACGTGGAACCAGTGAGTAATTTTTATATCACTAATCACGTGAAAAATGGTCAAAATTTTTAGGTATACCCAGACGAAACCAACATTTTCCCACTATTCCGGCTATCCTACTTATGGATAACACCCATAGGTGTTATAACCGTGCTAACCGTGGGTGCTATAGTAAGTTTGATCACGGGCAAAAATGACGTCACGAAAATGGACCCAGATTTAATTTCTCCCGTGGTACATTGGTCTTTGCCCAAAAAGGCTTTCGAAAACGTGGGGAATGCCAAGGAATTGTTTTACAATCGTTACAAAAGTAACGATAATATGGTACTTAGGAATCTTGAGTGATACACATTTTTTATATTTTTTTTATTTAGCGTAATTTTTATAACTCAAGTATTATTTTTGGAAGTATTAAAGTATATTTTAAACAAATTATTTAATAAAAATTTTATATATGATTAAAATATGTTTTACCCATCAAGAAAATATAAAATAATGATTTATACTTTAAGCGTAGAAATTTCATTATTAAAAAAAAATTACAAAAAAATCAACCAATTAATTTGTGAAAGGCAACAATAATTGCCGATCGTTATAAGCGATTTAAAGGCAAGCAGACCATTCATCTTAAAATGTACGTAAATACAGAATAAGAAATTTGTATGGGGCCATTCTTCTGTGTATACTTGTAGTATGGGCTATTTAAAGAGTGCATCTCACCAGGTATGGCTTAAGAAAGTTTAAGCATATAAGCCTATAAGAAGGTTTTTAATTTTTTTAAGTTATATGATTTCTAGTTTTTTTATTTAAAAGTATTTTATCGTATACATATAATACCACTAGTGGTAAAATTTTACCAATAAAATTTTTGTTTTTTTCTTGAAAAATTCGCAAGTGGCATTAATTTTAAAGACCACGAGCCGCTAGGCGAGTGGTTTTAAATTTTTTCAGGGAAAATTTTATCACGAGTGGTATTCGGCAAGACTATTTCACGAATATTTTTCAAATTAGAATTAACTGCCGATTCAGTTTCTGTATGATTTTTTTGACCAAAACGCATATTTTTTGGCATCTTTATTTTAAAATTAGAAACGTCAACGTTGACAATTATTTTTTGCATAGCAACCAATTAGTATTAATTTATTTCCTCCCTCGAATCATTTCATTTTTATTTTAAACATTTTTTTGTAAAATGCCTATTTTAAGTTAAAAGACCCTGTATATTCTATTATTTATTTATATTTATCCCAAAAAATGTATATTTTTTAAAATTTATATGAATTTCTTAAAACCAAAATTTTATTTTACAAAATTGTTTTTAATATTTTTGGTGGTCGTTGCTCACCCCTAAAGCCGTCCCTGTTCATGGATGTATACGTATACGTGGTACACGAGTGTTGTTAATAAAGGCTTTCGAGAAAGAAGTTCAAACAAGTGATTGAATGGTCGTTAGGTTGGCAGAAATGGTTTTGAATAATGAGTCTTTCAGGACGACTAATTGGTCGGGTTTACCCCAGGAAATTCTCTAAACAATTTACTGTTCCAATTTCGCAATTTGCAAAGTCCGCTCTATCCTCCTTTCTCCGACTTCTATATTCATGTTTTCCTGCTAAACTCAAATACCGCTTTTGTCTTACGTGCAACATTAAGAATTCACTTTTGAACGTTTAATAAGGTTTATTTTGATTCGAATATTTAACCTAATATTAATGAAAATATCAACAACATGTCCTGTACAATACATTTTGTAAATTTAATAACAAAATCCTATCAATAATTTAACCATAATTCTTGTAATTTTCAAAAAAGACCTTATTTTTACAAACCTTTTTGTAGACCCAGTAAAAAAAGTATTTGTGGGAAGTTGGGAACAACAATAATAACAGATTTCTGGTAATATATTATAAACACTCTGGACAGTTGTTACGAACAGTGTTCGAACACATTACGAATTAAAATAAAGTAAGCAGCAACATAAGTTGCAAACGTTAAAATCAATTGAACTTGTTGATGCGTATTATCAGTGGGAAATATTTTGATTGACTGCCTGAAATCACGTGTACTTTTTCAACGAAAAAATTTGTTACATTAACGAAACATTCTGTTACCTTTGAAATTAACAAAATGCTAACAAAATTGCATACTTATTACCTTTACAAAACTATCGGTAAAATATATTCTTTTGTTAAAATAATTTAAGTGTTTGTAATAATTATTAATTCATTATCATTTTTAGCGCAAAAATATTTACCGGATAATTTTAAACATATTTTCATTAATAAATTAGACTTATACAATATTACTTCAAAAGTTTAAAACAAAATGAAATTTGTATTTTATGTTGTTTATTTAATTTTTCAACATTCGTTTAAATATTTTCACTTGTCAGCATTTTATGAAAAGTTAATTAAAATTATTTTATTTTAATAAAAACAACTGCTAATAATTTAGTGAATAATTATTGCAACAAAATTTAAAAAGCAGAACCGAGTTTATTGTTTAATTATATTTTATTTATAATTATAAATAAAATATAAAAATTCAATTAACGCGGAAACTTTTACACATAAATATCGGCTGGGAAAAAATATATACATAAATTATGCATGGGCTAGTACATAAAATTAATTTTAAAATCATTCATGTTGAATTATTCAATTAAACGCCAAAGGGAATTTTTATTTAGTTTGTTTTTCATAAAAAAACAGATTTAAAAAAAATATGTTTATTTTTAATAATGTTTTTGTTTTTACAAATAAACGAACAAAATAACATATAAATAAATATATGATAATAACATATAAATAATAATAATAATAATAATAATATATTTATTGACCAATTTTTCAATTACAACCCAATTGTTTTTTTACACTTGTTTAAAAAAAAAAAAAAGAATAACATGTTAAGGATGCACCATTCATTTACCAAGATTAGCTGATTAGCTGATGTATATGTACACGAGGCGTGTTCAGAAAATAATGAGAATTTTCGTTTTTTGAAAAAGTATTTATTTATTCGTCTACATTAAAGTTGTCGCCTTCAAAATAGTCCCCATTAGATATTATGCACTTGTGCCAGCGCTTCTTCTAATCCTCTAAACTCTTCTCTTTCAGCGATGCGCTTTTAATGTCATTTATGCTTGCAAAACGACGGCCCTTTAAGGTTGTGTTTAAAATTCAACAATTTTGGAACAAATTTTGCTGCCATGCATTTCATACCCAAAACATTAGAAAAAATTTCATCGATATGCCAACATCATCAGCGACTTCTCTGATTGTGATTCGGTGATCGTTCATAACCATTTCTTCCACTTTTTCCATGTTTTTATCGGTTGTTAATGTGCTTGGGCGTCTGGGGCGTTCGTAATCTTCAACGTCTTTACGGCCATCTTGGAAACTCTTATAAACTCTTGTTTTACTCATAGCAGACTCACCATAGGCCTTTCTTAATATTTCACACACTTTATTTCATTTTTTACGCAAAATTTGATACAAATTCTTTGATCCATTTCTTTTAACGAACGAAAATCGCCGAGCTCATAAAAACATGTCTAACCTTAGCGGCTGCCACAGACAAAGTAAACAATGAAAACATTTAAAAAATTTATCATTCTTCAGGGGTATGTATACCAACATAATAAAGACAATTATATGACAACCGGACTCTCCAAACCTTCGAAATTTAAAAATTCCCGTTATTTTCTGAACACACCTCGTATAGGTACAGTCGACTGTATCTGATGCATCTGAAACATAATACTAAGACTTATCATGATCCGAAATATCCACAATTTTGAAATCATCAGCAAAAATCTAATTTCGACACGATACAAAATTGGAAATGTTATTGAATGAGGATAAGGTGGTATTGCTACTTTTACAGTTAAAAAATGAAACAAAAAACAGTATTAACCTTATTATTATTATTATCGTCGTTCTATAAAATTTAATAAATTTCAAAGCTTCAGCCAATAGCATTATAAAACATTGGAACTTATTACGAACAAACTTGTTTTGCTGCTACCAGCGCCATCTCTTAGATTTTCTAAGGACCTATGGACCTACCCCTGTAAATACACCTTTATTGTTAAAACATCAAAACGACCATCTCTATTCCTGCTATAAACAGTAAATTGGAGGTGGTGAATATTGAATTAGAAGGTAGAGAATAAAAGTGGTGTAAATTGGGAGTCATTGGGACGATTGGGGTGAGTTGAGTTGGAGGTAGGTATGTAACTGCAAAAGGTCAGTAATAATAAAATAAGCCGGGTGCAATTTTTTAATTAGAAACGGACAAAACAGCAAATGCACTGTATTTTTCGGTGTTTGGTCGTTTGGTCCGCATCCAACAAAAGGTCGAAATTTAATTCAGTTTGCCGCCGAAGGCATCGATGGTCAATAATTAAAAATTCACGTTAATTTAGTCACACACAGGTTGAAACAAAACAGACGTAAAAAAATTAAAACCTATTCTATTGTTAACTTTTGTACGAGCCAACAAACAAAAATAATTATTTTGCGTGATGTTCCATTGAACAATTTTATGAAAATATTTACCACGCCCATGCTATATCATATCCAGCAAAACTCTTTTATTTTCAATTGTATTATTAATTGGTGAAATAAAGTAAGCTATGGAACAAATTCATTAATAAATTCGGATTTTAATAAAATTAAAAAGTGTTCATAGAAGAAATGTTCATAAACTTCCTCAAAATATTTTATTTGAAGGTGAACCTTTTTCAGTTTATTATTGTTTTTTGATGTTCTACAAATAGCAAGTAAAGTTTTAATTCTATAGGATGTGGAAATAAAACTAGAACTCAACAAGAAGTATCCAGCTCGACCTATTACTCGTGCTACACCAAAAAAAAAATAATGTAGTTGAGTTAACGTTTGCCTAAATGTTATTTTTAAAAAACCTAATGGATTAATCTATATTTTGGTGTCAAAGTTTATTCGTTTATTTTACAGTTAAAATATTGATTTAAGACAAACAATTTTTTTAAATTAAAATGTTTAACATATTTTGATTTTATAGCTAGGAATTGGTTGAATCAAATACTAATATTTTTAGGATTACCTAAAAAAAATATTAAATTAACGTTTAGTTGCTCTTTAATCCAAAACATTAAATTTGTTTATTTAACAAATTGTAAATGTTACTTTAAAATTTAAAAAGTTAAATTTGCATTCATAAAATTGCCGTGAAGGGCGCTTCGAACACCCACGCCACGTCATTAGACGGTGTGGATCACGGGATCTTATTACATCTCGCCTCAGTTGGCTTACCATAGGAGTATATAAACTCAGGTAGCCGTTTTATTTGGGTGTGTTTCACTA